GCCAAACTATGATTATATGTAGTTTATATACTTTATATAGTTTTGTGTGATTTGGTTAACTGTTGTTCAAGGTAGTACTCCTCCTGACTCTTTCCTTGAACACCTGAAGAGTGATGTCGTCTTAAAAGCAGAGTCAACCATATATCATTACATTGGTCATTAAAGAAGAGAATGGCCGCTTCATATATATTACTGTCATTTTCAATTGTGTTGAAAAAACAACAACAACGCATAATCGAGCGAATGACCTTGCATATATAAGGCAAAACATCTTCTGACCTTATGCTTAAGAAACACCTACGGAGTGTAGTCGTCTCAAACGGATATTGAAGCATGTATCCAGACGTTGGTCCTTACGGAAGAGAATATGAGCTTTATATATTAGTGTACCTTCTCTTATTTTTGTCTTTCCTAGATTTATGAGAAGATTCCACTCACTGCAGCTGCAAAGAATGGTCACACGGATATTGTTAGGTGGCTTATAGAGAACGGAGCTGATGTCAACAAAGGAGGAGGGGTACGTTACAAGCATAAAATTATATTTGTAATGTAGAGTTAAGTGAAAATTTGATGGTCAAATTTTGTTTGGCCTTTCAGTTGTTTTTGCTATTAAGAAAAATGTCGTAAGAAGTAGTGAGGTATTTCTGTTTCCTTCTCGTTGTTTCTTTTGTAGCGTGATAGTGCCGCCTTAGACATAAGGATAGATACCAAGGCAAACCTGGCCACTAAAGATTTGGACTAAAACTTTTTTTAAGGAATGGCTGAATTTGTTTAGAATCGCAAACATGTGGATGCCTTAAGCTTTTATACCTAAGTGCAATAGATTCACCATGATTAAGTCGTTGTTCCCTCGGCTTAACTGCTGAGAAATTGCGTGATGATAAATTGAAAATGTTCAAGGTGATTTGTCATTGCATTGTGTATCCTGTACCCCTCATTAAAAAAAAAAACAGAAACAGGACAAGAACAAAACACGTAATGAAGCGAATAAGCTCGCGTGCATTCCCAGGAAGAACATGGTATTGTTTTGCAATTAATGAACCAAATAAAGAGGTACGATTGGATATAGCTCGTAAATGAGAATGGTGAGCTGTATTTCTTATTTCATAGTTTTGGTGTAGAAATTTTTGTGAAGTGCTACTTGAAAAGTATTCGCTTAAAAAGTAAAACGCCCATTAGTTCCAAATCGAGTATTATGTAGTTTATATACTTTATATAGTTTTGTGTGATTTCTGACGTTGGTCATTACGGAAGAGAATGTAAGCTTTATATATAATTAAGTGTACCTTTTCTTATTTTTGTCTTTCCTAGAATTGGAAGAACACTCCACTCACTGCAGCTGCAGGGAATGGTCACACGGATATTATTAGGTTGCTTATAGAGAACGGAGCTGATGTCAACAAAGAAGGAGGGGTACGTTAGAAGCATAAAATTATATTTGTAATGTAGAGTTAAGTGAAAATTTGATGGTCAAATTTTGTTTGGCCTTTCAGTTGTTTTTGCTATTAAGAAAAATGTCGTAAGAAGTAGTGAGGTATTTCTGTTTCCTTCTCGTTGTTTCTTTTGTAGCGTGATAGTGCCGCCTTAGACATAAGGATAGATACCAAGGCAAACCTGGCCACTAAAGATTTGGACTAAAACTTTTTTTAAGGAATGGCTGAATTTGTTTAGAATCGCAAACATGTGGATGCCTTAAGCTTTTATACCTAAGTGCAATAGATTCACCATGATTAAGTCGTTGTTCCCTCGGCTTAACTGCTGAGAAATTGCGTGATGATAAATTGAAAATGTTCAAGGTGATTTGTCATTGCATTGTGTATCCTGTACCCCTCATTAAAAAAAAAAACAGAAACAGGACAAGAACAAAACACGTAATGAAGCGAATAAGCTCGCGTGCATTCCCAGGAAGAACATGGTATTGTTTTGCAATTAATGAACCAAATAAAGAGGTACGATTGGATATAGCTCGTAAATGAGAATGGTGAGCTGTATTTCTTATTTCATAGTTTTGGTGTAGAAATTTTTGTGAAGTGCTACTTGAAAAGTATTCGCTTAAAAAGTAAAACGCCCATTAGTTCCAAATCGAGTATTATGTAGTTTATATACTTTGTTTAGTTTTGTGTAATTTGGTTAACTGTTGCTCAAGGTAGTACACCTCCTGACCCTTTCCTTGAACACCTGAAGAGTGATGTCGTCTTAAAAGCAGAGTCAACCATATATCATTACATTGGTCATTACAGAAGAGAATGGCCGCTTCATATATATTACTGTCATTTTCAATTGTGTTGAAAAAACAACAGCAACACATAATCAAGCGGATGACCTTGCATATATAAGGCAAAACACCTTTTGACCTTATGCATAAGAAGCACCTACGGGGTGTAGTCGTCTCAAAAGCAGATTCAAGGATATATCCTGACGTTGGTTATTACGGATGAGAATATGAGCTTTATATATAAGTGTCCTCTCTTTTATTTTGTTCTTTCTAGATTTTGAACCACACTGCACTCGGTGCCGCTGCAAAGAATGGTCACACGGATATTGTTAGGTTGCTTATAGAGAACGGAGCTGATGTCAACACAGGAGGACGGGTACGTTAGAAGCATAAAATTATGGAGTATAAAAGCATAAAATTGTAGAGTTAAGTGAAAATTTGATGGTCAAATTTTGTTTGCTTTTCAGTTGTTTTTGCTATTAAGCAAAATGTCGTAAGAAGGAGTGAGCTATTTCTGTTTCCTTCTCGTTGTTTCTTTCTTAGCGTGATAGTGCCGCCTTAGACAATTAGGATAGATAAGAAGGGAAACCTGGCCACAAAAGATTTGGACTAAAACTTTTTTTAGGGAACGGCTGAGTTTGTTTAGAGTCGCAAACATTTGGATGCCCTAAACTTTTATAGCTAAGTACAACAGATTCACCATAATTAAGTCGTTGTTCCCTCGACTTAACTGCTGGTAAATTGCGGGGTGGTCAATTAAAAATGTTTAAGGTGATTTGTCAGTGTCATTGCGTATCCTGCACCCCCTCATTAAAAAAAAAAAACAGAAACAGCGCAAGAGCAAAACATGTAATCAAGCGAATAAGCTCGCGTGCATTCCCAGAAAGAACATGGTATTGTTTTGCAATTAATGAACCAAATAAAAAGGTACGATTGGATATAGCTGTTAAATGAGAACGGTGAGCTGTATTTCTTATTTCAGAATTTTGGTGTACAAATTTTTGTTAAGTGCTACTTGTAAAAGTATTCGTTTAAAAAATTAAACGCACATTAGTTTGAAATCGAGTATTATGTAGTTTGTATACTTTATATAGTTTTGTGTGATTTGGTTAACTGTTGTTCAAGGTAGTACTCCTCCTGATCCTTTTCTTTAACACCTGAAGAGTGATGTCGTCTTAAAAGCAGAGTCAACCATATATCATTACATTGGTCATTAAAGAAGAGAATGGCCGCTTCATATATATTACTGTCATTTTCAATTGTGTTGAAAAAACAACAACAACGCATAATCGAGCGAATGACCTTGCATATATAAGGCAAAACTCCTTCTGTACAAATGTTTGTTAAGTGGTACTTGAAAAAGTATTCGCTTAAAAAGTTAAACGCCCATTAGTTCCAAATCGAGTATTATGTAGTTTATATACTTTATATAGTTTTGTGTGATTTGGTTAACTGTTGTTCAAGGTAGTACTCCTCCTGACTCTTTCCTTGAACACCTGAAGAGTGATGTCGTCTTAAAAGCAGAGTCAACCATATATCATTACATTGGTCATTAAAGAAGAGAATGGCCGCTTCATATATATTACTGTCATTTTCAATTGTGTTGAAAAACAACAACAACGCATAATCGAGAGAATCACCTTTCATATATAAGGCAAAACTCCTTCTGACCTTATGCTTAAGAAGCACCTATGGAGTGTAGTCGTGTCAAACGTAGATTCAAGCATATATCCAGACGTTGGTCATTACGGAAGAGAATATGAGCTTTATATATTAGTGTACCTTCTCTTATTTCTGTCTTTCCTAGATGGATCAGGAGACTCCACTCACTGCAGCAGCAAAGAATGGTCACACGGATATTGTTAGGTTGCTTCTAGAGAACGGAGCTGATGTCAACAAAGGATGGGTACGTTAGAAGCATAAAATTATATTTGTAATGTAGAGTTAAGTGAAAATTGGATGGTGAAATTTTGATTTGGCTTTTCAGTTGTTTTTGCTATTGGGCAAAGTGTCGTAAGAAGAAGTGAGCTATTTCTGTTTCGTTCTCGTTGTTTCTTTCGTAGCGTGATAGTGCCGCCTTAGACATTAGGATAGATAACAAAACAAACCTGGCCACACAAGATTTGGACTAAAACTTTTTTTAAGGAACGGCTAAATTTGTTTAGAATCGCAAACATATGGATGTCCTGAACTTCTATTGCTAATTACAACAGCTTTACCATCATTAAGTCGTTGTTCCCTCGACTTGAAAAATGTTTAAGGTGATTTGTCAGTGTCATTGCGTATCCTGTACCCAGCATTAAAAAAAAAAAACAAAAACAGCACAAGGACAAAACACGTAATGAAGCGAATAAGCTCGCCTGCATTCCTAGAACACGCTATTGTTTTGCAATTAAAGAACGAAATAAAGAGGTACGATTTGATATAGCTCTTAAATGAGAGCGGTGAGCTGTATTTCTTATTTCATAATTTTGGTGTACAAATTTTTGTTAAGTGCTACTTAAAAAAGTTAAACGCCCATTAGTTCCAAATCGAGTATTATGTAGTTTATATACTTTATATAGTTTTGTGTGATTTTGTTAACTGTTGTTCAAGGTAGTACTCCTCCTGA